TTACAAATTAATTAAAATATAATAATTTTAATCACTCTGAATTGTCAATGCATAATAGTAAGAGTTTTTGAGATTAATTGAATATCTTTTGAAAGTTAAGGGATTGAATTGCAAGAAGAAAGGTGCTTGTTTGGGACCTAAATGAATGAATCTTAAGCTTTTGGATCTAAGTGATCATCGTACGAAATATAGAGGACCATATTTTGCAATTTTACCATTGAAGAAATTGCAGAAAGAGCCTGGAAACCCGACACGGGTCAAGTGTCGACACGTAATTTACAATGTAAAATACAGTGTCGACACCATGCGTTCAATGCCCAAAAAATCCTATTCCAGGTAAGAGTTGAATTTGTAACAATAGAGTCGACTCTTTGGTATTAAAAAGTTGAATATAAAATAATAAAGTCGACTCTCAAACCTTCAAGAATTGACTATATATAGTTAAAATTCGACTCTTAAATTCTAAAAAACTGTAAATATCCTGCAGAAGGTTAGAGTCGACTCTATAAATAAAGAATCGACTCTTATAGCTAAAGAATCGATTCTTTGTAAAGAAGAGCCGATTCTTACTTTAAAAGTTTACTATTTACCAAAATTGCAATAATAGTATGTGAAATTTTTATATAACTTCATATATCTGTTCACATTTTTTTTAAATAAAATAAGTTTAAAATTATCTAAATATGTTAGTAACTAATGTAATTATATTAATTAATTTACCATGTTTTAAATAAAATTTAATAAATGAAATAAAATCAATTAATAAATTAAATTTTATTTATAAAAATGAATTTTTTAAAGATTAAGAATGTCATGCCCCATAACCCAAATCCGGAGACGCGACAGACGCCGTGCACTCGTGAGACAGGTCCCACGAACGTACAAGGCTCGAAACTTATCCAATTCACAATCTGATACCACCAAATCTCAAGATAAAATTTTTACAATCTGCTCTGACATCATAAAATCTCCAAATACACTCTAGCTTACAGGATCATAATCTGTATCTAAAATCTATATCAAATTCCAGGTGACTAGCCTTCTATCTCGTCACTCCCCTCGATTTCCCCCGTCCTCGGTTTCGCTTCCTGAAATGGTGGACAAGGAAAACTATGAGATAAACTCAGTAAGTAAATATGGATAGCCTTTGGGTAAAACTTTGAAGCATGCCAGATAAACCATGTAAGCGTAACAGACTTTTAATGATAAACCATTAATGCGAAAATCAGATTCAGTTCAATAACAAAACGTTTCATGACAAACCGTTACATGCAGAAGAAAACTCAGTTCAGTAGTCTCATTTATAAGTCATGACCAATGTTTACAAACTCCCACTGGCAGGCGTCAGTAATGGTACCAGTGTTTACAAACTCCCACTGGTAGGCGTCAGTAATGGTACCAGTGTTTACAAACTCCCACTGGTAGGCGTCAGTAATAGTGCCAATGTTTACAACTCCCACTGGCAGGCGTCAGTAATAGTGCCAGTGTTTACAACTCCCACTGGCAGACGTCAGTAATAGTGCCAATGTTTAACCCCATCGGCAGGGTTTCAGGAGTACCAGTGTTTACAAACTCCCACTGGTAGGCGTCAGTAATAGTGCCAATGTTTAACCCCATCGGCAGGGTGAACCGGCTCCACAGAAATACATGTCGACATGTGCTAGCGTTTACAGCTCCCACTAGCGGGCGTCAGTAATCATGACTATATCCGAGACAAAACCATGCAGGATTTACAGAAAAACCCCAATTTCACAATCAATCCCGAATTTCAGAACAAACCGAAAATTTCCATGTGACCATGGATTTAACAGAAAACTCAGAATTTGCAAACTCTCAGTTCATCAAAACAGTTCAGTCAATTTCTAAATAGGCATGCTCAACTCCCGAAAAACAATGAAACTCTCATTTTCATTTCAATCATGTTCAATTCCA